AATTATTTTTGTTTTTTTTTTTTTTTTTTTTTTTTTGTACCGGGGATTGAACTCCGGTCCTTGCACTTGTAAGGCAGGCCACCAAACCGCTGAGCTAAATCCCCGGCCTTCCAAGCAGATTATTTTAGCACCAAAAGGAACAAGTGTAGGAAATGGTGGCGCAACACTCCCAGTGAAGAGATACCCATGGGAAAAGCTGTTAGAGCCCTTGTGGGTTTACTCTCTAGTAAGGAGAGACGGACATGAAGATACTAGATAAGTGACTCGCGCTGTGTCATATGGTGATAAGTGCTATGCAAAAGAGATAAAGTTGGGAAAAATAAGGCAGACTGGCCCTGCTGGGTGGGCGTGAGGCTGGAGTAGTAAACAGAGTGGTCCAGGTGCGGCTTGTTAGTAAGAGGTTATTTGAAAACGAGCCTGGAGATGAGTAAATAAGCCCGGCAGATTTCTGTGACAGTCAGTGAATTAGAAGATACTGCCCATGCAAAGGCCCTGAGGCAGATGGTTCACAGAATATCGGAGGAGTAGCAGGTAGGTCTCTTTTAAGAGTGGCAAAATGAAGTAAAATAACCACAAGATGATATTAAAGACAACACTAGGGGAACAGGAGAGGGGCGACTATTGCAGAATTTAGACAGGAGAAGTGGTAAGATTTGCCTTATGGTAAAAGAATCCCCGTGGCTCCCCAGTGGAGAAGAGACTGCAGGAGGTGAGGATGGAAGAAGGGAGAGCGATCAGAAGGGCAGTGCAACACTCCAGGTAAGGGATGACGGCAACTACGCCGAGAGGTAACAGAGAGGCATTGAAAACTGCTCACGTCGGGGACACGTTTAGACGACAAAGCTGACCCTGTATCATGAAGGGCTGAGTGCTGGGTGTGAGAGAAGGGTAAAACTCCCCTGAACAACTGGGAGCATAGAGACGCTACCAGCTCGCACAGGGAGAGCGAGTTGGAGGGGTTCAGCAGGAGGTCGGCTTTGGATCTTTGGACGCATTCAATCCAGCTTACTCACCGCATATTCCAAGTACAGATGGACAAATAGACAGGGCAACGTGAGTCCGGAATCCAGGGGCGGGCTTGGCTGAAATTTACAATCTTAAGTGTATAGATGGTGTTTAAAGCCATGAGATCCGTGAATTTCATACAGTGAGAAAAAACAGAAATCAGCCAGCATACTGTGCTCTCTTCTCCCTCTCCCACTCCATTCCCCTCCCTCCCTCTCTCTCCCTCCCCTCTCTCTGTTTCTCTTTGTCCTACCAGGATCTTTCTTATTTTAAAAATGTAAACACAAGTGAACAAGCCTGTTCTTGTTATAAAGTTAAATGATCCCACGCTGTGTCCCTTTGTCTAAAACCATCT